CCAAGGCCGCAGAAGTGGTCATTTATCCTTTACTTCAAGCCCTCCAGTGATAGAGAACCCAGTGCCTACTGAAATCAGTCATTCCACCTTTAGATAAGCATTATCGCAGCTGACTTTCATGGAATACTTTAAGGCATGCAAAGATCTTTACACAGATGATCCTTGATCCTCACCTATTAGATGGTTTCTGTTATTATCTCTACACTCTTTCTTGGTGCTCTCGTCAGATGCCCTGGGTTCACCTATCATCTTAAAGAAGATGACTCAAACATCTCCATATCCCACCCTTATGTATCTCCTGTGCTCCAATTTCACAGCAGCAATTCCCTACTAAACACCTTTACTTGCATGTCCTATAGGCACCTCAAACAAATTGTACCTAAAATATAATAATCTGCCACATGGAAATACCAACCCAGTGTCCCTGATTCTGTACTTTTCAGACGAAGAACACCACCTTATCTTTAAGTTAAACCCACCCCTACTCTCAACTCTGCTATTATTACACAGGGAACACCGTCCTTTCTTCTAGTCACCAAAATTCACAATATAGGAGTTATCTCCAACCCTTCCCTTTCTTTCACCCTCCAAATTCAATTGATGGGTAATGTTTGCCATTTGCACTTAGAAAACATCTTTTCAATCTCCCTTCTCCTTTTCTTTTCACATGCTTCAGGGGCTCATCAACCCTCGAACTATTCCATAGTCTCTTAATTGGTCTTCCTGAGTCAGGCCTCTCTCCAAGCTGTCCTCCATACAACCACCAAAATGATATGTGTAATGGTTAGATCTGATGATTTCACCATATCAAAAAAGTTTTCACAGATCCCTATTGCCTTTAGAACAAAACACAAATGCTTTTGTTTGGCTAGTAAAGCCTTCTACAATCTAGCTCTGACCTATCTCTCTAGGCAAATTATCTATTACTTACCCTCTCACATTCTATGGTTCAGCCAAACTGATTTATTTCCCGCTCTCTGAAAACAACATCCCATCCTCTGCCTCCTTGACTACCCCCCCCCCGCCACCTAGAATACCCTCTCTTTTTATTTCTGCCTCTTGGAATTCCTAGTTCCCTTCAAGGCTCAGCTTAAACGTTGTTATCAAAAAGAAACCTATCGTGACTGTCTAGCTGTTAAGGTTCCACATTCCATCCTCCTGGAAATTATTTTCTATCTATTTTGTATTTGAAAGGCTACATGGAGTAACAGAAAGGGAGGCGGCCTTGAAGTCTGGACAACCTAGGTTCAAGTTCTATTTCCAACACACTGGTTTTGTGACTTCAGCTTTGTGACTCAACCTTTTAGGGTCTCAGGCAACTCTCCAAGACAGTAAGTTACAGGACAACAGTCTGCTGGCTTTGGTGGAGAGAGTTTCCCAATGCCGCCCCACTCCATGATTCTAACTCTTCTGGACTCCAGTGCTAGACCCCTTTTTACTTACTGTTAAATCCTGCCTAATGTATTTCTTTTTCTGTAAGCAGCTGGCCCCAGGTAGCTGTCAGGGGAGGGGAGAGGAATCAATCAACATGCATTTATTAAGTGTTTTCTATATTCCGCACAGTTCTAACGAAAGAACTCACAAAAAGTGTGAAGAGGAGGGGAAAAATATTTATTAAGCACCTCGCATCTGCCAGACGTTGTGCTTAGTACTTTACAAACAATATCTCATCTGATCCTCACAAAAACCCCAGGAATCAGGTGCTGTTATTATCCCCATTTTATAAATGAGGAAACTGAGGCAAATAGAGGATAAATAACTTACCCAGAGTCATACAGCTAGGAAGTATCTGAGGCTGGATTTGAACTCAGGTCAGCCTGACTCCAGGTCATCTTCTCTATCTTTTGCATCACCTAGCTGCCTCTAATAGAACATTTCATCTAATTAGTAAGATCTTGAAGGTATGACTCTGTCTTAAGGAAGAATACTAGAGTTTTACTGATATGAAAAGCAGAAAGTCCTAAGACCAAGACCTTAGGATTTTAACTATAAAATTGTGAGAATGGGTGCCCAAGGTCCTATCTTACAGAAGATTATACGTGGATATTATGAGGAAGACTGAAGTCCAAAACCTTCCAGAATAATGAGGTTAAAGTTAGAGATACAAAGACTTCACTCAAAGAACAAGTTACCAATAAATGAAACCATTTCCTCAACAGGCTTCTGGGTAATATCTAGAAACACTGGCCACTGTATTCTCTCATTGCATCCCAGAAAAAAAAATGTAGAAAGGACAAGCGACTCCTCAGGCCAAGACAAATGTTCAATTGTCTTTAAGAGTATTAATTCCACAGCGATGAGCACATTGGGGGCGCTTCAGTAGCCACAAGCTAACACACCTCTTAACTATCATCTCTTTTAAACCAATTTAGATCTTTGCACAGCTATTTATTAGCTAATGCACTGCTTCCCCCACCCACCCCAAATGAAGGTGATATAGAATTCAAAGTCACTATACACATTGGACTCATGCTAGACTCATGCACATGTAATCTGAACCAATGCTAATTTTTGATCATTATTACTCCCTCTCTATCCTCTGACCTCCAACCCAACATCAATCTGTCAGCACTACTTAGAATTCTCAAACCAGTGGCAACATTATACAATAGAAATAGGACTGGATTTAGAGTCAGAAGAACTGGATTTAAGTTCTGGTTCTTCTAACTGCTACTTAAATAATGTTGGGCAAGTCACTCTCCCGCAGTCTCCACACCTGTAAAAATGGAAAAATAAAAAGGCTACATTGTACGACCTTCAATGTCCTTTCTGGTTCTAAATCTATGACCCTGCATTTGGATGTGGGCCATTCCCACATTGTACAATACTCATGAAATACCCTTTTTTCCATTTTTACCTATTGAAAACTTATTCAACTTTCAAGCATGACATAGTTTTATTCACAAAATTTTACCCACACTGCTATCCTTAAGTCAGGAGTGATCTGTCCCAGCTCTGCTCCTAACTCCAGGCTTTGTCACCAGGCTGTCTCATCCTAGAATTTCCCTCAGTGTCTAGGGTTTCCTTGACCTGGAACATCCAATTTCCCTGCAGCCTTCTCACCCTGAAATGTACTTCTGCCAGGCCAGCCCTCTCCTCCCACTGGCGAGTTCCTCCAGGAGCTTCTATTTTATGGAGGAGCCCAGGCTGTTCTACTGTCCCTCCCCTGGAGGTTTTGTTTCTGATGTCTCATACACTTCAACACCATAACCCCAAATGGGTACTTCTTCTCCTTTCGCCTGTTTTTCAGCTCTCCTTTGTATGCTGTAGCCACCAAATGTGATGTTACATCCTAATATAAGTTTCCAAGGAGCTAACAGAATGTAATCTCCTTGAGGCCATGGGATTGTCTTTCTTGTTGGCTGTTTTTGCATTCCCAACCATTAGTGCAGTATCTGGCAAACAGTAAGTGCTTAATAAATACTCATTGCCTAGTCTTGCCCAGCCTTGAACTTTCTCTGGATCTTGTTCCTATTTCTCTTTCTATTATAATCATAGATACGTATTTCTTATTTTAAAATTAAATGAAATTCAAAATATATTATTAAGTACTTACTACATATAAGATGGAGCATGTAGGTAGCATAGTGCATAGAGTGCCAGGACTAGAGTCAGGAAGACCTGAGTTCAAATCTGGCCTCAGATACTTACTAGCTGTGTGATGCTAAGCAAGTCACTTAATCCTGTTTACCTCAGTTCCTCATCTGTAAAATGGGAGCACACCGGAAAAGGAAATGGCAAACCATTCTACTATCTTTGTCAAGAAAACCCTAAATGGGGTCACAGAGTCTGATATACCTAATACAACTGAACAACAAAAACGCCACATATAATATGCTGTGCTAGATGTTGGCAGTATAAGGATGAAAAACAACGGTTCCTGCTCTCCCATAGCTTACAGTCTTCTTTACTAGATTTTAAGTTCCTTAACAAGGCAAAGAACTATGCTTCCTACATTTTACATTAATAATAATAATAATAATAATAATAATAATAATAATAATAACAACAACAACAACAATAATGGATCATATTGATATACTGTTTCAAGTTTCACAAATGAATTTCCTTCCAACAGTCTAGTGAAATACATACTGTAAAAATTACTTTAATGTTTATTTTTAACTTTGGCCTCACGATTTTCCCGTGAGAAACTTCTTCACCTACAAAGGCTATAATCCATCTATACCTTAGTAAGTTCTAAGGAGTTGCCTACAACTTGGAGTGACTGTAATTTGCCCACAGTCAGAAAGCTAGCAAGAATTAAAAGAAGGATTTGAATTTTGATCTTGCTAACTGCCAGCTTAGCACTCCATCCACTATGCCACGCCAGGGAGACTCAGGCTCAGACCAATTAAATTACTTGCCCCAAGGTTAAATGACTACCATCTATAATCATCACGACTTAGAATCAAACTCTCCTGATTCTAGGTTAGGGCTCCTTCCACTACACAGCCATTGCTTTGTCCATAGTTGGCTTTTAATATATTTTTGTTGAATATTTAATGAAGACTTCATTGTTTCTTCCCAGGTCTCTCTGTGACTGAAAACAAGAGTCAGAAATGCGTTTCTTTTTTTTTTTCCCTTCAGGTGTCTCAGGCTTTATTTTTTGAAGACAACTGGCAGAAGAGGCGATGAGGCCTGGCGGTAAAAAGGTTCTGCTAATGTGTTAGGCAGACCCTCACACTCAGTGCCAATAACATATTTTCACTTTTCCTCCATAGGCGGTGGAGAATTAAGGGAATGGAACAGAGAGCTCTGTCTTTTCTCCTACCCTGGTGCCTGAGCTGTCAGGAGAGGAGAGGGGTAAGGATGTATATTACAGGGAGGCTCTGGGCACCCCATGGCTGAAACTCAAGTTGTTGGACACACAGCAAGATTCATACAAGTGGAAAAGCAGCAGGATGTGCTGCCTGGAATTTCCCTCCTAGCACTGTGGGTTGCCTAGCAACGAAATCACTCTGTTTCCCTAACTCCTGCTCCGAAGCCTTGGGCTCAGTTGTCTCTTATTCTTGCACTACCCCCCATACACCCCCCATCCCTCAACCAATTCGTTGAAAACAAGGTTACCTCAGAGGACAGCATGTTGTGTACTATTTAAGCTATTTGACTACTGTATGTTTCTCTGCCTTCTTTCATTATTCTACCTTAACTTTCTTCACATGGATCTTTCCCGTGTGTGTGTGTGTGTGTGTGTGTGTGTGTGTGTGTGCATTTTAATGTCCTAAAGGTGCAGTCTAGTGACCCTCAGTTTGTTTCTTTTTTATGTGTTGTTTTTTTTTTTTTTCCCAGAAGCAAACTCCAAAGAGTGTGTATTACTGACAACATTTTGGCTTGGGATCTCACAGCCCAATTCTGCCTATTGGAGAGAATGTAAGACTTCCCCTTCCCTTAAGTGACCACCTTACCCCCATCCAAAAGATGAAAAAAGAAACAGTATAGAATAAGAGATCCAGAACTCCAAGGCTATCTATTTTAACCCTTTCTTTTTGCAGATGAGGAAACTAAGGCCCAGGAAAGCTAGGTGCCTAAAGTCAAGTAAGTGATAAGCATCATATGTGATATTTGAACCCAGGTCCACTGAATGGAGAGCTGCAACAGTTTACACACTGTAATAGATTTTAATACTGACTCCCATAGGGCACGTGTTCTTAACCTGTTTTTAGTGTCATAAACTCCTTTGGATGTTTGGTGAAACTTTTGAACCCATTCTCAGATAGTGGTGGTGTTTGTTTTTTTTTTTAATTATAATTGAAAGAAGTACTAAAATATTGTTTTCCTATCCAAGTTCATGGGCCTCTTGAAATCTATACCCAGTTTAAGAACACTTAATCTAGTCCAACTTTCTCATTTTAGCAAAGAGGAAAATTAGACCCAAAGGGAAGTGACTTGTCCATGCTCACAGAGTGAGTTAGTGACAAGAACATGGTGTAACTCTCAACACTTTACCAAATCAAGCTAGCTATGACACTTCATTTCAGAAACCAAATTCTTTTCTTGTGGGCAAAATTTTTACTATATTCTAATTCCAATTATTTTATCAATGTGCTATATCTTAATTCTTAAGTTACCACTAGGAGATCCAATTCCTAAGCAATGGGGTCAAACCTTATTTCTTTCTCTCAGTCCTCTTGGGGACTAGACTAGAACATCCCCCACGCCTGCCAAACCTAATTTCTATGGCTAGTTTCTCATTATGTACTCCCTGACACTGACCTTCTACTTGTCTGGCCCTCTGCCAATGACCACTTCTAGTCTTCCTGGGTTATATACTCCATCTGCCTTCAGGACTTGTTACAAACAACTGGACTTCCTGAATATCTATGTCCTGACTGCATAGACTCCCCCTTGCAATCCACAATCAGATTCCACCTCAGTAAACCCATCACATCTCTGGATCTCGGTAGGGTCTAGCCCTCTGCTGACTACACCATAGACATGACAAGCATATAATATATAATATAGGGCAGACAAGCTAGATGACATGACTATATTCAAAGTCTGTTTAATATCTAATGAGTGGAAATTGATGTTATCGTAGAATCCTATCTTGTACCTAAGTTGACTTGTGCAATGGCCTCCTTTCTCTTTACTCACTTCAGTACTATTTACCCTTTATGGCCACCTCAAGTATGGCCTTCTTCATGAAGCCTTCTCTGAGAGGGAGCTCTTGTTCCACTGAATGAAATGTATCAGAGTTTAACTTATAGTTGGTTTTTGTTTTACACATGCTCTTTTCGGCATCTGCAGCTGAACTCTAAGCATTTGGAGAGCAAAGATTAAGCCTTGTGTTTCCTTTATATTCCTCACTGCACCTAGGACAGTTTTGGGCACACATTAGTTGCTTAACAAGACCTTATTTAACCTATGCTAACAGAGCTCAGAGCAGAGGAGTTATCAGAGAGAGAGGTAGAGTTTGGGTTAGGATTCTAGGGTGGAGCAGAATTCGAATCAATTGGTAATACTGCAAAAAACCTCTCATATTTTGAGAGGAGGGTCTTCATATGCATATTGTCAATTTAGAATTTTGTTCTGTAGAAATTATAGGGCTTTCTTATACTTTCTATTAGTACATTCAGGTCAGCTAAGTGCCAATTACCTCGATTCTGGAGGGAAAAAAAGTCCAGTAGTAGGCACTGGAGATAAAAGAGAAAAATGAATCATTCCTTGTTCTCAGGGGGCTTACACGCTACTTACATTTTATCCACTATAAAATGGAGCTAATGATACCTTACAAGGTGATTGCAAGGAAAGAACAGTAAACTATAAAGCTCTGTGTGATTTATTATTATAAAACAATAATGACAATAACAATAGTTAAGTGTTCTTAGTATTCCAGGAATTGGTACACAAGTCCACATTTCTCCTTTGCATGTCCTTCCGAGATTTTATGAACTTTGATTCATGTCTTCTTGCAGCCTGAGCCTTTCTCCACTAAAGAACAATATTTTTAGTTTGTCATCCTATGGCAGCTCCCCTCTCCCCAGATTAATATATCATCACTTAGGCTCGTGTCTGTTGACTGCTACTGTCGACACAACAACAGCTCTCTGGAGGAAAGGGGAAGCATTCAGTCAGCCAGTCAGCCTTCCAAAATCTAACTGCTTTGTGTTACATGACTGAACATCCAGATATGTAGACATACCTGTGACATGGACTGAGTCCCATTTTTCATCTGGATGTTTGGGACTATACAGGCCTAACCTTTATTTGTTTGTTTGTTTTAGGGAGAGGAGTATGACAAAAAAATACCCAGGTATGACTGGAATATGACTTCTTACTAGCATGAATAACTAGTTACCCCTCAAGGTTTTTTTTTTCCTTCATGAATGCAGAAGATGGAAATAAGCAGATCTGAATATACTAATAAAAATATGAGAAAGTCCTATGATTTCTAAAGAACAAAAATTAAAATAGGCATATGAAGACCCTATTCTCAAGACAGGATTGGTCCTTTGCAGTAGTAGCAAGTAAAGGTGCTTAATAAATACTTGCTGGATTGAAGGAAGTGCTTTCTGGGGAAACTGAGGCTGTAAGAGCTTCAATGACTTTTCCAGAGGCAGAATTTTAACCAGGGTCAATTCTGAGTCCATGTCCTGCATCCTGTAAATTGTTCACAGAGGCAGGATGGGATAGTGGAAAGTCTGGTGAACTGACCTCTCCTACTGACATTTACAAGCTATATGACCATGAGTAAAGCACTGACTCTTTAAGTCCCAGCTTCCTTTTTTCTTGTGAAGTGGAAATAATAATAGTGCCTACTTCACAGAGTTGTTATGAGAACCAAGTGACAGAAAGTATGGAACAGAGCCATAAATAACAATGTGTGTGGGGAGACGGGAAAAGTGTGAATGGGGCTTTGTCTCAGGGAACTGATAAGGGTGGGCTGTGGGGAGAGAGAAGGGAGGAATGGTGGCTCAGACTTCTGCCCAGAGGGAAGATTTGTCCTCATGGTAACAATTTTCCCCATGCCCCATCTGGGTTATTCCCTTGCTATAGTATGCTGCCATCCCTAAAATCCTATCAGGCAGCTAGGTTGTGCTATACCTGAAGTCAGGAAGACCTGAGTTCAAATTTTGCCTGAGATACCTATTAGTCTGTGAGCCAGGGCAAGTCACTTAAGTTCTGTCTGCCTCAGTTTCCTCACCTGTTAAATGGGGATAATAATAGGCCCCACCTCTTAGGGTTGTTGCAAAGGTCAAAGGAGATATTTATAAAGTGGCTTTGCAAACCATAAAGCATCATATAACCTCCCTCTAACCAGCTGCCCCTTTCAGTGCTATTTCAATTGCTCTGAAAAAGGGTAAACAGAGGCAAAGTTCAGAGTGCTATGGGGTGACCTAAAGAAAATTTAATTGAAGAGCTAATGTGAAACATGAGTCACTAGTATAATTACTGAAAGCAATCCTGCCTATTAGCTAGCCCACAGCTACCAAATAAAACAATAAACTACTAAAAAAGCTGCTATCTTGGGCCTGTATAGCAATTACTGTAGCTGAAGAAGCCTTACCCTGGCTACATGCAAAGACAGGTGGCATTTTACTTTGAAACACGTTCTTTTTGTGCTTCACCTCCCTCCCTCTTGCCCCCACCCTCCATCCAACAATGGTCACAAAGTTCTGTATCATAGAGAACTGAAATTACAGAATGGGAGGCTTTTACCCACCACTGAGCAAAGGAGAGAGAGCTAGCCTCAGTCAGAAAGCCCCAGGTTTAAGTCTTGCCTATTACCCACACTATTTGTGTGACCCTGAACAAATACCTCTCAGTATTCTAGGAAACTCTCTAAAGCTGTAACTTACAGAGAAGACACTTACCTGCCCTGAGAGGAGGGATTTCCTCCTCAAGAATTTCCCTTTGTCAGTGGAATAACAGGGTCAACCCCATCCCTATCACTAAATTAGAGAACTCATTGTTCCCTGTAGAAGTTGATTGGAAAGGGTCTCTTTTCAACAGGGCTATTTTTTCTCTACACACTTGGGTGAGAAAAAGGCAGATTGGAAAACTTGAAGGCTAGAACGTCCTTATGCTTCTGTGACATAAAAATGTCTTGCTATCATTTGGGGATCTTTATCCCACAGGTCATGGACTGTATGGAAAACAAGGTAAAACTCAACCCCAGCTGTCCTCATCTCTGTTTAACCTTGGACAGGGAGACAATAGTCCAGATTTTCCTAATATTAAAAGCACTTCAGATGTCTCTACTCCTGGAAGCTACATTAGCTATTTTCTGCCACTCCAGTACCATTTTATAAATCCTTCCTTCACTGTACATACCAAATGGCAGTCTAGTAGTGAAAAACAGTTAATGCAGCTGCCAGGAAGCCTTTACATTCAGGCTGAGGAAATCTGACTTTGCTTTTATAGACTTTAAGAAAATTTCATCCAATTCCCACATTTTTACTTTTGTTAGTGATGGCAGATTTTGTAATTGAATTTTCTACAGAAATAATATTCAGATAAAGATTTCAGTATCTTATCAAATTTGGGGCTCTAGTCTTTCAAAATTTATCCATCTCTGTTATGCACTGAACATATTTCAAAAGCAAGAGTCTGTCTTTCACTCTCCTCCTTTCCCTCTCCCTTTCTCTCTCTCCTTCCCCACACCCCTCCTCACTTGGTTGCTTTGGTATTCAAGATGCAGGGATATAAATGATTTGGATATAAAATCAGTTTCAAATATCCATGCCTACTTTAGAATTCTTATCTTTAGCAAATAAATATATGGATACATTATATATGCCTATGAAAATGTTAAGTACTTGACAATCTCCATTAGAAGTAATTTTTATTGACATAATAAAACCCAGTGATTGAAACCTAAAACACTAATTACATATTTAATAGAGTATGTTCATAGAATTAAACTGGAAGGCCATTTTCATATAATAAAAAAGAAAAAAATTCAAACCTTCACCCTGAAAAATCAGGTTAATTATGTATAATGTTATATGAATGTAATTTTTTGAATCTACCTTTCATACATTTTAAAATAATCCTGTGAAACTTGAAATGAAACTCTATTTCTTTAGCCTTTTT